CTCCCAGAAGCAAGGGCTTCTCATGGAGGGGACCTTCACTCCCCTGAGAGGGGACAGACCATGGCTAATATCAGACAGCTTGTGCTACAAGGGAAGTAAGGGCACAGGTGACAGTGGCTTTCTGTGTAGATAAGAAGGCCTGAAGAACTCCTCGAGGAGGCAGAATTTAAGTGGAGATATGAGTGAAGGGAGGGAGCAGGCTAACAGTTTTCCAGAAGAGAAGTCTTTCCAGCAGAGGGACAGATGCAAAGGCCCTGTGGCTGGAGTGTGCCTGGCTAGTTTGGGACTAGTCCTTCCCTAGTGGGAAGGACTCTCTGGACAAAGAAATGAAAGGACATAAGACCACAGACGGGGAAAGACCCACATCACACAGGGCCTCATAGCCCTGTAAGGGCTGGGACTGGGATTTCCCTCTGAAGGACACAGGAAGCCACTTAAGGTGTTGAGCAGAGAAGCCACATGATCCAGCTTCTGTGGGATGGAGGGGGTCTCTAAGTGTTGTTTTAATAGGTTTTTATTGTGAAAGAGTGTAAGATTCATAGGAAATTATCAAAATAGAACCAGGACTTCCCATGTACCCTTCATCCAGCTTCCCCTAAGAACATTCCAACTTCCAGTTTTCTAAGGATCATGCAGGTGACTAAGTGGGAAGAGTCTGGAGCAGGCGCCAGGACAGCAATGATATCACCAACCATTCCAGCAAAAGGTGGTGGGGTTTAGACTAGGATAGTGGTGATAGGGAGGGCAGAGTGGCCAGATCCTGGGCATGTCTCAAAAGGAGAGCTCTCTGTCTGTGCCAATATATGAGGTGTGAGTGAGAGAGAGAGAAAGAGAGAGAAGGGAAGAAAGAGAAAGAGGAGGAAAGAGCAAAGAGGGGAGAGAGAGAGAAAGAAAGAAAGAAAAGTAGAGAGAAGAAGAAAGAGAGAGACAGAGACCGAAGGAAAAAAGGAGAGAAGTGGGAGAAAGAGAAGCGAAAGATGGGCCCCAGACCCTTGGCCTGAGCAGCCACAGGCTAGAGGTGCCATTTACTACCATTCACCAAGCGAGGACCCTAGGGAAGAGAGGTTTTCTGAGGTGAGGCTTCCAGGGTTGAATTTTAGACAGGGAAGACTGGAAATAGATCAAGTACTTAAGCAGAGATGTTGGGTTCCAGCTAAATGCATGCATCTGGAGGCCAGGGGAGCTAGAGGCTGGCAGGGGAAATGAGGGTGCCCTTACCTAAAGCCTGGGCAGGTGAGAACTGGGGCAAGTGGAAAAAAACCCAGGGCTGGAAGACTGAGCGCTGAGCCACCAGCATTCAGAAGGCAAGGGGACCACAGGAGCAACAGAGAAGGACCCAGACAGAGCTGCCTGTCAACATAGTGAGGAGCAAGACCAAGCTAGCTCTTCCTCCACCCCCTGGTTGAGAATTCCAGAGGATGACCCACAAGTCATGTCAACACTGGGTGGTGCCTGTGCTCAGTGAGCAGGGCGCTGGCCCCATATACCAGTGGTGGGTTCAAACCCAGCCCTGGCCAAACTGCAACAAAAAAATAGCCAGGCGTTGTGGTGGGTGCCTGTAGTCCCAGCTACTTGGGAGGCTGAGGCAGGAGAATTGCCTAAGCCCAAGAGCTGGAGGTTGCTATGAGCTGTGATGCCATGGCACTCTCCCAAGGTTGACAAAGTGAGACTCTGTCTCTAAAAAAAAAAAAAAAAACAAAAGTCATGTCAACACTGTGATGGGTCAAGGTGGAAGAGGACAGAGATGTGGTACATTTGGGAGTGTGACGGCCATGAATAGCCTCAGTGTGGACAGTTTCAGCAGTGGACTAAAGCCCATCTGGAGAGGACTCAGGAGAGAATGGGAATGGTTTGGGGTTGGTTTGGTTTTGCTTTCTTAAGAGGAAAGAAGTAATAGCAAATACACCTAAAGGAATGACCCTATTTCAAGGAGAATATTTTTCCAAGGGAGGAAACCAAAGGCAAGGTTGATGGATTAGATGGATGGAGCCAGGAAGATAGGAGATGGTGGCAGTGGACACTTAAAGTTGAGATGGGGGTGGGAGGTAGCATTGTATGTAATGCCAAGGTCTGAGGCATGGCCACAAGTGAGCAGCTGAGGTGGGTGGAGGCTGAGATCACTTTGCTGAACTAAATTATTTTGTTTCATGTTCTGTCACCCTCCCTAGAGTGTCACAGTCACACAGAATCCCAGTTTCTAACACAGCACACACACACAGGAGCCCTTTAAGACATGTTAATTGAACTGAAATGTTCTATCTCTGTTGCAAGAATGAGCACAAGTCCCCTGTCACAGGCACTCTCCAAAGGTTCACTAAATCTATTCCAACCAAAGAGAAGGTCTCCTGAGCAGAGCAAGGCACTCTCGGGCCTGCCAAGCACAGCCTTTGGCTGACGGGCCTCTGAGTCAGCTGCCTGTCAGTTGTCCTCTGGGGCATTGCTCGAATGACTCTGCTCAGTTCACCTAAGCCTTTCTGCCCTCCCCACGTCCTCCCTCCCTCCATCACTCCTGCCCCCAGCAGACCTCTGCACTCACCCCTTCACCTGGTGCCCCACCCATGTGCCACCTCTGTTTTGGTGTCTCTTTCTTCCATCAGCCCTAATCCACCCCTGTCTTCAGGTTCTGGGCTCTTTCCCATTCTGGTCTATTTCTCACAAGCCAGACCCACGTTCACATATTCCAGAAACTCGCCTTCATGCAGCCACTGTCCACCATGACCCTCCCCGCCCCCCCCCCACCTCCTCCTCCTCTCGCTTCCCAGATACCTTGGTGCTGCTCTCCTTCTGGTCCTCTTCTTTTAGCCAGGGGCGGGCTCCTCTAGCAGGGCCAAAGGAAATGGCTGTAAGCGCCGGGGCAGACTGGGAAGAGGGCAGGGGGGGCTTCTCAGCAGTGGCAGGCCTGTCTCCAGTGGGCAGGGCTGAGGGTTTGGGCCCTGAGGGATGAAAACAGGGATGGAGCTGAGGGCGCCCAGCACCGTCGGGCTGCTCCTGAGCACTCTGGCCCCTACCCTCAATTCATCTGCCCAACTCTTCCTTGATGGAGAAAAACGCAGATAGATTTCTCTACAGAGAAGCATTCGCTGGACCAGCCTCACCTTCATTCACTCACTCACTCATTCATTCATTCATTCAATATTGTATACCTTGTTCTAAGGCAGGGGAAGGAGTGAGCAGTCTGGGTAGGAAAGGGGGTCAGATCTGTTATCTAGGAGGATTAAGGTTTTTTTCTGAGAGTGTAAGTTTATCTGACCCCAGGAAAAGAAACATTACAATGGGCCCACTAGCCCTTCTATATGACCCTTGGAACTATCACACAGCATGAACGGGCAGAGCTGGAAGGAGCCAGAGAGCTAACTAATGATAGGCCAATCCTCGCACTTCAGACGGGAAAGCCAAGAGCTGGGGAACTTCAGATGTTCTTATGATTGATAAAATATAAATTCACTTCCGAATGACATCAAATCCGTGTATCTCTTTGTCATTCTATATTTTCTGAACCAGTGGATTTTAAAGGTACGTTTCTCATCATGGAGGCAGGGCAGGGCTAGACTCATTAATTTTCTGTTGCTCACAAGGTTTAGAGCTCACCATCCTTGGGGGAACCTGCAAATCAGGGGTCTGCTGAGATGGGGCCACCATTCAGGGCTGCCTGAATCCAAGGAAAGCTTCTGAAGGCTGGGGCCCCTGCAGAGTTCCCAGGTCACCCTGGCCCTGCCCAGCCCTGCAAAGGCTTCTGCTTGGTGTAGGAGGAAGAAACAGGGCAGGGCAGAGGGACTCGGAGCCCAGGGGGAGAGGCAGGACAGAGGGTATGGGTGGTCAGGGGCCAATTGACCAGGGCAGGGGCCACAGGAATACCACAAGCCTGGGGCCCCCAGTTTCACACAGTGTCATGTGAGCCCCTATTATGTGCTGGGCATGTTACATACATTGGGTGACAGTATTCCAGTTGACAGTGGAGGGTCAGAGAGCCCTTGAAAGACATTACTTCATTTTACCCCACTTCTTCACATGTACCCCAAAGGGCCACCCTAGAAAGCCTTGTCTGACCAACCCACCCCTGCCCACAGGCCCCTGATGACCTGGTTCTCAAACAGCAAGCTGGTGAACCAGAGGAGGGAGAAAGACTAGCTGGGGTCTCCTGGCCCACCCCCCATGCCAGCACTCTCTGGATTATCTGTTAAGGACACAAGGGGTGCCAGTGTGTGTCACCTGAGCTCACCCTGCTGCAGCCTGGCCTCAGAACACTGGAGAGGTAGCTGCCACTGTGGTTTCCATGCCAGGCCTGCGTGCCAGGCCATGCTTCCTGTTTAATCCCAGGGCCTCTTGGGCAACAGCCTCCTCATCCCCCATCCTCACCCACTTTGGCCAACTGGCCCATTTGCTGAGGGGATTAGCAGAGTGCCCAGCCAGGAGGCTGGCCCTAGGGGCTTCTCCCCAGCTGTCAACCCCCACTGCCCACCACTCAGGCTCAGGGTGCTCCTCCCACCCATCCTACACGCAGGCTGTGTTCTGGCATCCCCAGGCCTATAGCCACCCACTCCCATCTCTCCACAGGTTCAGAAAGGGCCCGTCCTCCCTCTGCAAACACCTGCCCTGCCCCCTCTCCTGGCCTCCATCAGGGCTGGCCCTATTCCCTGACATTTAAACCTCTGGGACCAGCTAACTAAGGGTTTTGTGGGATGTGGTTTAATCTCTCACTCTCTCCCCTCCTTGTTCAACACAGTCCAGGGCCAGCCTCAACACGCATCACTCCCTCCCAGCTGTGGAGCCCTGCAAACCTGAGAGTAATCTGAGTAAGCAGGGCTCTGAGACCAGGGAGAATGTCCAGCTCACAGAGCTGTCCTCTGTCAAACAGGGACAGCACCTTCTCTCTCAACTGGGTCATTGTGAGCCACAAGAGCTGGTGTATAGCAAGAGGCCTGGAAGAGCAGGCACCAAGGGACACTGGTTCTCTGCCAGGCCTTGCCGGGACTGCTGCCACCCTCAGCATGGGACCAAGGCGACTTCAGCCTCCCTGTGATGAAAGGAGGGCCTCGGACACAAGAGCTCTCATGTCTCCTCTGTCCCTGGCTCTGCTTCTGTGACCCAGCCCTGGAACTGCAGAGTCATAGAGCGGGGTGTGCACGGAGAACACGTACCCAGAGATTTAGGGCTCCTCTCCTGAGGCCCGCTCTCACGAACCAATCTTAAAAGAACAAGGGAGAGAAAAGGATTATGAGAGATGTGGCATGGGGAGCCCAGGGTGGATCCAGGAGGGGACCACGGTGAGATGGGGGACACAGGGCTTGTGGCCAGGGTTCAAGCTGCAGGAGATGGCAGCTCCCTCTGCAAACATGAGGGCAGGCTGACCACCAGGCCAGGCCAGACATAGTGCTCATCCCTGCTCTCTGGCCACGTGCCCATCCCCAGGAAGCTGACACCCACGTGGAAAGTGTCTTGAAGGAAGCCCCTGCCCCACCCCACTGTGTGCCCTAGGCCTGTGCAGCAGGAGAGTGGCCACCAGCAGATGAGGGGTAAACCTCCTCCCTGCTCAGAGAACGCTGAGCTCAAGTTCTCCAAACTGCCCCAGCCCCACCCCCACAGGGGAGAGTGCAGTGACCCCTAAACATTCCTCCTCCGCTGATCATAATCCCCATTCCCATCCCCCACCCCAGGGGCTGGCAGGACTGATCTCTTTTGCTAAGACAGAAAATCATCACTGTTTTCTACTACCAGCTGGATCTCAATTACTCATTAGAGGGGAAGACGGGGACATTCCTGGCACTGGTTTTAATTGCAATTTTTTAAACTGGAAGCACCATTTATTCATTCAACAAATACTTACTGAAGACCTAGTATATGTGCCAAGCCCTGTCATAAGATGAAAAAATCCCTGCCTCATGGAGCTTAGGTTTCCATGAAGACCAGATGTGTGTCGCACATGATTTTCCCTTCTCTGCAGAACAGCAGGACCCACTGGGGCTGTCAGGATAACAGGCCACAACAAAGCATGGGACACAACATGCCCTGCTGAGGCCTGAGAGGATCCTCTCAGCAGAGCAATCCAGGCTAGGCTGGGCAGGAGGATGGGCAATAGGGGAGCCCGCCTCAGCGCCTGCCTTAATCTGGGGAAACCTTTATCCCGGGGATGTGGGAGATCGGGGGACCCTGAGTCCAACAGCAGGGACCAGCCAGGACTCAGCCCTGGATCAGGCACAGCATCTTGGGTTTGGGCCCGCAGGCAGGGATTGTGTGGGCTGGAGGTAATGAGTGCCCCTGCGGCTCCCTGGCCCAGGGTCACTACCCACCACTGCCCACCCACACTAACAGGATTGGTGAGGCCAAGGGCAGAAGTGGGGTGGGAAGTCCCAATGGCTACTCCAGCTCCTAAGAGCTCATGGGGGCCTCAGGCTGCCCAAGGTGACCACAAAATTCCTGGTGTCCCTCCCGCGCCCAGAAGGAGCCCACAGGATTCCAGCTCTGCCCTTTTAGCCTCCAGCGAGTCTGCTTTTCCTCCCCTTCTGGGCAAAGGCCACGGCCTCGGAGGTCCAACAGGTCAGAGGACTGGGCTCTGCTTCTTTCAAGCTCATGGCCTTGCTGTGGTCTCTCGCCTTCCCCTTCCCTGCAGACCCCTCCGCAGACCATGCCCATCAGTCTCTGCCCTTCTCCACGTGGCTGCATAGTCCCTCCCTTCCCATCACAACCTCCCAGAAAGCCCACCACTGCTGAGTTCCCTCCTGGGCCCTAGGGAGAGAGGCAGGAGAGCGAAGCCCCATGTCCAGCCAGAGCCCCTCCCTGCTCTGGGCCAGACATCAAAGCATATCTGTGTCCCAGGACACCACAAGCTGAAGCCACCTGAGTGGCCTCAGCCCCATCCCCAAGCCCTGTCATGGTGCCAGCTCCGCTCTCCTCAGCCAGCCTCGCCAGCCTCTCTCACTGCCCAGCTCTCCAAATGCTTACCCCACAGACCACCCATGTATCCCCCCATTCCTGCACCTGGGTCTGTACAGCCCACGCCACTCCATGGCTGCTACTGCGGCCTTTCTAACTCAGAGCTGATGCCACACACTCACCAGGAAGGCTTTGTGGCACCTCCTCACTGCTGAATGAGGCTCACGCCCCTGGCTCTCTCTCTTTTCCTGCTCAAAAACTCTCCCTGGGCCTTCAGAATCCAGCTCAGGCCTCAGCTCCCCTGAGAAAGCTTCCCAGCATGATCCAGACCATTTTCTACTGGTCCAACAGCTTGGGCAGCCTCCTGCCTCAGCGCTTATCTCAGTGATTTACTGGTAAACATCTCCTGTGAGCTTCTAGAGCACACAGACTCGTCTTACTTGGCTTTGGTTCCACAGTAGGGCACGTCATAGGGGAGTAAATGATGGATAGATGAGCAGATGGATAGATGGATGGATGAGTGGATGGATAGATAGAAAGGCAATGGAGACACTTCTCCCATCCAATAGACAGCCTCGCAGACTCAACAAAGAGACATCCATGTCACAACCAGACATCAAAGAGTCAGATGATTGTTACATAACTAATCCATGCCAGGTCCCCATGGGAGATGTAAAGATTTTTAAGACATGGCTCTTGCCCTGTATGATGCTCCAAGTTAGAGAGTAGAATAGATTTAAATAGAACAAAAGCAATAAAATAAACAGAGACTTGAACAGAAGCTTCTCTGGAAAAGACAGGCACATAGGCTACAGGCATATGAAAATCATCATCTTTAATCATCAGAGAAATGAAAATCAAAACCACTTTGAGATATCATCTAAGTCCAGTAAGAGTAGCTAATATAACAAAATCCCAAAACTACAGATGTTGGTGGGGATGTGGAGAAAAGGGAACACTTCTGCACTGCTGGTGGGAATGCAAGCTAATACATTCCTTTTGAAAAGAAGTTTGGAGAACACTCAGGGATCTTAAAAATAGACCTGCCATTGGATTCTGCAATTCCTCCACTAGGAGTATATCCAAAAGACCAAAGTCACTTTTCAAAGAAGATATTTGCACCAGATTATTCATTGCAGCTCAATTTGTAACAGCCAAGTCGTGGAAGAAGCCCAAGTGCCCATCAACCCATGAATGGATTAATAAATTGTGGTACCATGGAATACTATGCAGCCTTTAAAAAGATGGGGACTTTACCTCTTTTATGTTCACATGGATGGAGCTGGAATATATTCTCCTAAGTAAAGTATCTCAAGAATGGGGGAAAAAGTATCCAATGCACTCAGTACTTCTATGAAACCAATTTATATTTACTCACACTTTCTTATGAAAGATAGATCACAACTATAACCGAGGAAGGAGAGAAATGGAGTGGGAATGCAGGGGAGGGGGAAGGTTTGATAGAGGGAGGGTAAACAGTGGGACCACACCTATGGAGCATATTGCAAGGGCACAAGTCAAATCTATCAAGTATAAAACATAAATGCCTTAATACAATAATCAAGTAAGTGAGGCGAAAGCCATATTAATTAGTTTGAGGCAAGCACTCCAACTTGCATTAAAAAACCAACACATTGTACCCCACATATGCATAAATGTATTCTTGATCTATGTGTATATGACTTAATAAAAAAAGAAATAAAATAAAAATAAAATAAATTTAAGTAACCAAACTTTGTTTATTTAAACTTAAATAAACAAAATACTGGCCGAGAAGTATCAGGCACTCCCTGGACAGTGCAGAGAAGGCCACTCCCCCTCCCTGCTGCCTGTTAGAGTGAGAAGAGAAAGGCAGAGATAAAACTGGTGGGGCCTGGAGGGGTCGGGGGGTGCCTTCTGCCACGTGAGGCTCCCCTCCAGGGGCTGGGGGATGAGGAGGCCTTGCAGAGAGACCCAGGGTATGGGGAGGCGGCTGTGGAGCAGGGGCGGGAGATGGACCCTGACCATCAGGCCAAGGAGCCTTGGCCTTTGTAGCCGGCACAGGGAAGTCAGTAGGGGCGATGTGAGGAAGAGGCGTGGGCTGGGAGAGGGCTGGGGAAGCATGAAAAAGAAAGATGGGACAGGTGGTGAAGGGCCACAGGGAGGCAGGCTAGACGTTATTCAGGGACGGAGCCAGCAAGTGCAAACCGAGAGGAAAAGACAGGGGCGAGAAAGGGTGGAGCTGTTTGTATATTCTTGTTGTTGATAAGAAAGACTTGCGAGGATGGGGTGATCTGATAGGAGCAAGTCAGAGGTGACACCGAGGCCAGAAGACCCTGAAGAACACGTGCTCCTCGAGGGAAACAGGAGGCCTGCGAGGGGGCAGCTTGGGGACACATGAGAGACACTCCATACTGCCGCAGAGGTGACACGTCCTCCATCTCCCACCCTCTGAGTCTAGATGGCATCAGCCTGGAGAAACCAGAGGTGTCTGACAGGAGGTGGCAACATGGAGCCTGGCATCTGGGTGACATCAGGGCTAGGGCAGAAACACCCACTCAATCTTGGACGCCGTGGGCAGGGATAAGAGCCCCCCGAGAAAATAAGGAGATGGAGCAGAGGGCTGAGGCGCACAGGAGGCCACCTCGAAAGTCAAGAAGCAGGTACGAAGTCGGGAAGGCAGGAAGGAGGACAGTTAAAGGCCATCAAGGCTCAAACGACGGCGCATAACATCAAGTGTAATGAGACGGAAGGAAAGGTGACCAGCCTGGGCCAGAGAGTCCCTAACCGACCAAAGTGCTGCCCAGGGGAAGCAGAGACAGGTGTCTGCTCCAGGAAGGAGAAGAAGCGTCACACTCAAGGAAGCAGACAGCTCCAGGGCAGGCGATCTCTGAGGAGGCTGATGGTGAACGTGGAGCAGAGAATCAAATCTGGGAGCAGGTCCATGGAAGGGTCCCCACAGCCCAGCAGGGCGGGAGGAAGATGTGCATGTAAGTGTGGGAGATGGAGGGCAGCAGGGAGCCAAGAGAGTGAGGAAGCGTGAGAGAGATGAGGAGTCCAGTCCACCAGGCCCCAAAGACACAGGGGGAGGGGGCATCACCACAGAACCTCGACTGTGACCGAGCAGGGTAAGCCAGGCCCATGGGTGTGAGCACACACACACACGCTCTCACACATGCTGCACTCACATAAGCATGCGTACACACGCATGCACTCAGACACACACTCTCAAACACACCTGCTCCATCTGCACACCAGCCTGAAGGCGGGGATGTCCCCCATACAAAGCAAGAGCCTCATTTACGGTAACACAGTGCTCCCTCCGCCCCACTTCTTGGGGAAGTAAGAAAACGCCTTTTGAAGTCTAAAAGTTTGCAGACTACACCCCACACCCATACAATAATGGCTATATTTTTATTCTCCACCAATCAAGAACATACTTAATAACAAAGAGCTACCATGAATTCAGTCATGCTTTAAAATAATGTGTGTTTTATTCATCACCCCGCAACCACGTCTGCTCAGACATCAGCTAGAGACGTTACACGCGCACCCCACCTGCTCTAGCCAGGGGCAGAGAAGCCCACCACTGTACTGCGGCCTGCAGGGCTGTGGCTCACAGGTGGAGGACCTGCCCTTCCCGCCCCAAGCCCCAGCACTCTGCCCTGGTATACGGGTTCAGCCATGCAGAGCCCCAGAGGGTCTGGAGGGCTAGGGGGAGAGAAGCTGGCAAGGAAGTCTTAGCTTAGGGCTCTTACCGTGTACGAGAGGCCTTCAGGCCTGTGGCCATGTCCTGACCTGGAGGCCAGGGACTAGGAAGGGTGCCAGCAGCGCGGGAGGAGGCCGCCACCTGCACGCCCACCTTTGGGATGGGTGGGACCACCAGGCCCCCCAGCGACTTCCGCATCTTGTCATCATTGCAGTGCAGGAATTGCGGGCAGATCTGCACCTGTTAGCAGAAGTGGGCAGAGCTCCAACCCCTGGGAACATCCACGCCGAACGCTGCACTCCCAGGCACCTCTCCCAGGGACAGTCCTTCTAGCAGGGGCCACCGGGGCAGAGTGCAGGAAAATGTCCCCTGGTTTCTCTTTCTAGCCACACAACCTGGATCCTTAGAATGCTGGTCATGTCCTTGCCCCTTCGGGTAAGGAGACAGGCAAGCCCTTTTCCTATTATTATATATTTTCTTGTTCTCATTTCAGAAAAATCATCAGATATTAGAGCTGGAAGGAACCTCCAAAAACATTTGATACAAACCTTTATTTTTATAGATGTGCGAATGAGGGCCCAGAGAGGAGTTTGACTCCCTCAGGGTCACACAGCCAGTGTGGGAGAGAGCAGAAACCAAGACCCAGCAGCCTTGCACCTCTGCAACGCTCCCTTCTTTTTTTTTTTTTGACAGAGTCCCACCATGTCAGCCTTGGTAGAATACTGTGGTGTCACAGCTCACAGCAACCTCAAACTCCTTGGCTTAAGCGATTCTCTTGCCTCAGCCTCCCAAGTAGCTGGGACCACAGGTGCCCGCTACAATGCCCATCTATTTTTTGCTGCAGTTGTCATTGTTGTTTAGCTGGCTCAGGCCAGGTTCAAACCCGCCAGCCTCAGTGCAGGTGGCTGGCGCCGTAACCACTGAGCTATGGGTGCTGAGCCTGCAATGCTCCCTTCTTAAAATGCAGAGAAATAGGTCAGAAAGCAGGAGGAGTTCTGGGGCACTGGGGCCAGGGAATGCCCAGGGGGCCTTGCATTCAGGACAAGAGGTCCTGGAGGCCCTGGGCAGCCACCCAGAACTCCCAGGCCAGCTGCTGGTTTGGGCGCTGTGGGAGAAGGTGGAATGAAGGCCCCACCCTGACAAAGGACTTGGAGATACCTCCAGAGCTGCTCAGGGCAGTAACAGGGGTTGGGACAGGATAGACAGGCAGGAGCACAAGGAGTGAGGAGCTGTAGGCAGGACTCAGAGCAGTGGGATTGCCTTACCTCCTGGGTGCCAGGTCTCAACTCCTGGGGTCCCTGGTCCAGGCCCTTCTCCTTGCCTCCACTGGCCTCTGGGGTGGTGGGGATGCTCTGGATGGGAGGCATTGGCCTTGGCACCCTCAGCAGCCTCTGGCAGGTAGCACGGGGGATGGTACTTCTCAAAGCAGCTCCTTTGGGGCCTCCCCCAGGATCCAGAGAGGCTACACAGGGGTGGGTATGGGGACTTGATTAGTCCCAGAATAATGTCTTCTGAGGGGTCTGAGGGGCAGGACTCAGACGCCAGCAGCAGGGCCTCGAGTCCCGGGGAGAGCTGGAGTAACAGAGACAGAGGACAGATCTGCCCCCATCCCCATACCTCCAGCAGACTGAGCAAGTGGGCAGTACTGAGTGTTCTTTTCCATTCAAAAGTGCTGATCAAAGCCACCTGTTTAGAATTCAGAGGCAGTATGGATAGGAACGGAAACAATTCCAGACCAGGAGTGAGGACATCAGGCCTGGTCCTGAGTGGAAGCTAAGTGACCCCAGCAAGCCAACGGCAATTTGAAGCCTCATGGGCACATCTATAAAATGGGGTGTTTCCAAAGGCCCAACACCACCACTGTGTTCCCCTTTCCTTTTTAGCTAATGATGTGGGGGTGCAACTGTTCTGATACGGGCTAAGAGATGGACCAGCATACTCCAACTCCTCTCTAGACACTTTATGTCCCCAGCAGACCTGTCAGCACCCTGTCTGACCTGGCAGCCACCTGGGGCCCCCTGCACGGTGGCACAGAGGAGCCAACATTGCCTCAGGACAGGGTGACAGGGTGACAAGGCTAGCTCCAGCCCATCCAGGGGGCTAGAGACACCCAGCCCTGCACACTTGCCAAGGACCTGGTAGGTCATCAGTCACTTCCCATCCATATGTTAGAAAGAACATCTCCCATTCTGTTTTTCCTCCAATGGAACTTTGTAAAAAGAAATGAAAGGTCTAGAGAAAGACTTCAGACTTCTAAGGCAGGAAGTCGTTGGCCTGGCAACCTCAGAAGTTGCACCACCTGGAAAGTCTAAGCAAGCACGGGACACTCCAGACTCCACCAGCTGTCTGAGTCATGTCCTACCAGGCCGAGTCCTAAGCAGGGTGCTCCTCCATCCATCTGGGCTCCCAGGGAGCTGGAGACCCCTCATCATGGCCCAGGGAGAACCTCAGCTGGGAGCAGCTGCTCAGGGGAGGGGGACAGCTAATGACAGCTGCAGGCTTGACCGCAGCACCCCCAGGTCCCAAGAGCATTTCCCCCAAGACATCAGGCCTTCTTGTTTCTCTTGTCACCCAAAGAGTTTGTTCAGCTAAGCCCCAGTTATGTGATGTACCCAGGAGGAAAGGAAAGAAAGACTCAATTTATTAAGTTCATGCCAGGTACTGAGAATTCTCTGCAATTCTTCATTAAACCCTCACAGTAACACAGATGTATTGGTATCCCCGTTATACAGAGGAAGAAATTGAGGCTTAAAGGGTCACCTGTTTGCCCAAGTCCCCAGAGCCATGGGGGTTCAAATGTATTGGGGCTGACATTTGAACCTGGTCTGTTAAACTGGATCTCCCACCACCCGGATAAGAGAGAAATATAAAGTACCCTCTGTTGTTCAACCCTTTGCTCATCTATTCAATGAACATTTCCTTTTTTTGGCTTGGGTTTTGTTTTCGTTTGTTTGCTTTAAGACAAGATCCCACTCTGTTGCCCAAGCTGGAGTACAGTGGTATAGTCACAGCTCACTGAAGGCTCAAACTCTTGGGCTCACACGATCCTCCTGCCTCAGCCTCCCCAGTAGCTAGGTGCACACCATCATGCCTGGCTAATTTTTTAATTTTTATTTTTTTTAGAGATAGGCATCTCTATATGTTGCCCTGGCTGATCTTAAACTCTTGGCCTTAAGCAGTCCTCCTGCCTCAGCCTCCCAAACTGCTAGGATTACAGCTGTGCGCTGTTCCACCCCCTTAACAAGCATTTCTGGCAACTGTGCCTCACACTGGGGACTCAGTTCCTGCACTCTTAGAAGTGAAAGTTACATGCAAGATTCAAGTTTTAAACAAATAGTCGCACAGATAAAAATACAAATGCAACCTGTGGAAAGAACTAAAGGAAAAACAATAGGGCACTAATGGAGAGCGTGCTATGAGGCCAAGGGCAAGTTCAGATGGGGGTGGGGGCCAAGGAGGCCTCTTGAGGAGGGCTGTTGAGTCAGAGTTGAGGGAAGGTATTGGGGTGGGAAACAGAGGAGAGCAGGGGCACTCTAAAGTCTCAGGCAGGTCAGAGCCCAGAGCCCCAAGCACTAGAACTCATTCCCTGTGCCTGGCGAGCAGAGACAAGGGGAGAAAGTGACACAGACAGGGGTGAGGCTAGAAACAGAGGGCCTTGTGCATGTGGGAATGTTTGAGACCCTGTTCTAAGTGCCCCTGGAAACCACCTTGGATTTTAGCTGATGGGAATGGGGGAAGAATGCTTGTTTAAGAATCCTGTGCAGCCAACTAGAGGGACAAGGGCAGAGGCCCAGGAGGGAGGGAGGTGGTGCTCCTGTAGACAGGAAGCTGAGGCCACAGAGAGAGTGTGCCTGGCAGGTGCCCACGGCCCAGGCCTGAGAGGCCGGCATGCCACCTGGACACTGTGGCAATCTTCACAGTGCTGCACCCTTGACCCCGACCTCAGGTTGTGGGGAGGGGGCAGAGGACGGGGCTCACCTGGGGAAGATGCTGCCAAGCCCTCTGACAGCCTCCTTTTCTTGAGTTTGTCCTTGATCTGGGTGGTGTCCCGGGCCACGCTGCTGGCCTCCGACTCTGCCAGGGAGTGGGACCCCAAAGACAGTGCCCCAAGGTTCCTGTAGTGACCATTCCTGGCCTGCCAGCCTTTCAAAGGAGCATCCAGTTTTTGGCTACCCGGGTTCCCGTGTCCACTCAGCAGCTGTGACGGCTTCTCATTGCTCAGCAGGACACTCGGTATGGGCTGGAGGGCGGCTGAAGGAGACAGAGGTGTGAGTAGCTTGGCACTCAGGGGGCTGGGGTAGCACCAGGCACCAACAAAGCCCTTGTTGCTGCTCTCTGGGGACAGACAGCTGCTGGCCCAGTGAATTCCAGCTGTCACGTTTCAGTCACTCCCGGTAGCAAGTCATTCATTCAGCAGTGAACTAACAAGGCCCATGTCACTGTCACGAGGACTCAGGGACATAAAGGGGAGTTGGTATGCACAAATGAGAGGCCATGAGCACATGGAGAAGGCCATCTGCCCTTGGACCACTGGCCAGTCTCCGGGAGCCAACAGAAGCGTCAGTATCACTGAGCACTGCTATACACCAAACACAGATCACAAGGGAAGACCATGCAACTCCAAGCCAATCATCTCCACTCCCAGCAGACACATCCAATGTCACCTGGCAAGCATCTCCCAAGTGGCAAGCACTGTCCAACAGTGGCCTACAGAGATGAGTGAGGCACAGTCTTTCACTAAGGGACGTTCACTCCCTGTCCATAACTGGGTTCAGCATGAGATAGGGCATGAGCTGTGCCATAGGTGGACAGAAACAAAATGCTGTGCATGCTTAGAGGAGGAGGACCACGAGAACTTTGGGAAGTGGTGCATTTGACCTGGGAGCCTGGAGCAGAAAGGAAGGGAAGAGGGGAAGCTACCAGACAGACCGGCTCCCAGAAGCTCCACCACACCCCTGCTCTTCTGGAGACCCTGGTGTCCAGGCCCCAGACACCAGGCTGCATCTGACACCAGACCCAAGGACAGCTGAACGCTGGGCCAGCCACAGGCCAGTCAGGGAGCTGGACTGAGAGAAGGTGACCAGAGCAGTCAGATTCTCCATCCAAAACCACAGGTGGGGCTCTGCAGAGAAGACGGTGTGCAGCTGGCCCCCAGAGCGGCAAGTCGCAGAGGCCAGCAAAGCAGCAGCTGTCCACCAGAGAAGCCCACCAGTGTCCTGCTGCTGCCCTGGACACTGAGGACAACCCCAGGCCCCGAGGAGGGGTCTACAGGGGCAGCCCCTGCCTTCCTGGGCCTTGTGAGCTCCCCCGGGGTGCCTAAGGGAGCCAGATGCATGCTGAGAGCCCCGAGCCCTATTCCTGTGGATCTCCCTCCCTCCGGGAGAGGTACAGAGTTGGAACAGCCTGCCCCCAAACTAGAGGCCACAGGCTTGCATCTAACACCCTCGTGTCCTCCCTCCAAGATGAGGCCCAAGGCCTGCCTCTGGCCAGTGGCCCTGACTAGGCAGCTGCCAGGTGGAGCCTCCCCATCCTCTGCCCAAAGTCCCCAGAGAGGCCACTCAGGACACTAAAGGCCGTTTGGTGTGGTCTGGTCACCAGGTCTTCCCAGCTCACCTTCTCCATGAGCCGGCAGACTGGAATCAATGCTTCCAGGCGGGAGCGCGCGGGCCCCAGCCCTGGTCCGAGGGACGCTACCGCAGTACACAGCCACTGGAGCCAGAACCCTGGCTGGGGACAGAGCACAGGAGAGCACAGCCAGTCTGCAGCCTGTCCACACTTTCTCGCACACTCTGAAGTGAAGGCACTTTAGGTCCTCCCAAGCCACAACTGGAACAAACTTGTAACATCCCTACCGCCCGCCAGAGCTCTCTGTCCCCAAGTCTCTGCCCAAAACATATGGTGGCCCAGACCCCCATGGAAGAGCCTGGCCAGCCAGACAAAGAATCGGTGATCTCCACCAATTCCCCTACCCTACTCATCCAGGCTCTTGGCTTTACTGCCCCCCACACACACTCTGCCTGCAATCTCTCTCCTGGTGTGCCCCTTTGATCATCACCCAAACAACACTCTCCCCTAGTGTGCCCAGCACTGGCCTCTGTCCAGTAGCCACTCTCCCTGGGCCCCCCCCTGCAGAGAACCCCTTGCCTTGTGGTTTCATTCTGACCAATGTCCCCAGATGCAGAGGAGAGCATCTGGTTACCTGGCCATACCCCTCTCTTGGAGCCCCAATCTCCTCACAGCACATCCTACACTGACCTTCACTCTTCTGCCCTAACTTCCCAAGGGCATTGCCTTTCCCCCAGCAGACGGTTGTCAATGTTTGCTCTGCACAGGCCCCTGCCCTTGAAGCCCTTGATGACACAGTAGTGGGCAAGACTGATTCAGTGTTCAGTGGAACTGGAAGTCCAGTGAGGGGAAGATAATGATTAACAAGCAACGACAGGGTGGGGCCTGGAAGCCCCAGCTAGGGACAGGGGGACAGGGAAGGCTTCCCAGAGGGAGGGACCCTGGGCTGAGACCACAACCAGGAGCAGGAGTCAGGAAAAGAGGATGGGGAGGCTGAGCTAAGGCACCCACTCCTTTAAGAAGCCTTCCCAGCTTTGTGTCCATTTTAAACCAGATAAATCTGGGGTTTCGAGATGTTTACATTTCTTATATATTCTGTTTATCAATCCCTTGTCAGATGGATAATTGGCAAATATTTCTCCCATTCTGTAGGTTGCCTCTTCACTCTGTTATTGTTCCCTTTGTGATCCCATTTGTCTATTTTTACTATTGTTTCTGTGCTGTTGAGGTCACTGCTGGGTATACAGCCCAAAGAGAGGAAATTGATACATCAAAAAGACATCTGCACTCCCATATTCACTGCAGCACTACTCACAGGAGCCAGGATATGGGATCAACACATGTATTTATCGGTCGATGAATGGATAGAGAACATGTGGCATGCGTGCACGTCGGATATAATTCAGCTATTTAAAAAAATAGAATCCTGTCCTTTGCAGCAACATGGATGAACATGGAGGCCTAATGTGAAATAAGCCAGGCAAATAAGACAAATATCACATGTTCTCACATGTGGGAGCCGAAATAGTGGCTCTCATGGAGGAAGAAAGTAGAATGATGGTTACTAGAGTTTGGGAAGGGGGGGTGGGAAAGAAGAGAGGTTGGTTACTGGGGACAAACACACAGTTAGGTAGCAGAAATAAGGTCTAGCATCCCACTGAGCAGTAGGGAGTCTTAACAATAAATAATGTATCAAATAGTTCAAAATAGCTAGAAGAGAAAAATTAGAATGTTCCCAACATAAAAAAAGATAAATGTTTAGGGCGATAGATGTGCTAATTACCCTGATTTGATCATTGCCCATTGTATGCATGAATCAAAATATCACATACCCCCAAAATATGTACAACTGTTATGTATGAATGGAGGGGAAGCCCTCCCTCCCTGTGCTTCCCCAGCCCCAGGCACACCCCGCCATGTCACTCTTTCCTCGCCAGGCCTCTGCCTGGTCCTCCCCAGGCTTTCTGGGGCCCGCACCCTGTCTTACTCATCTTTGTAGTGTTGTACCTTAAACTCTATAAACACAGTGGAATATGATTTGGCCATAAAAAGAATGAAATTCTGTCATTCGTCCCACACCCTCCCACCTCAGCCCTTCCTGAGCACACCCCAGGACCATCCGTGGGGCCCTAACCTGCCACCTGGAGAAGCCCCCTCACAAGTGGAAACCCAGCCCACCCACCCTAGGCTGGAGGGCCCCTGGGAGCCTGAGTTCCCCTTTCTGTTATCTTTGTGACCTTGAGGAAAAAGCAAACCTCTCTGAGTCTCAGTTCCCATATCACTAAAGCAGAGGGGCTGGATAGTACCAGGGGTCTATAACACCTTCCTTCTCTTTCTAGATCTGTAGAAGCTGCAGGACCTCCCACCTCTCCACTAGAATCTACTGTGGCAGGGATCTGATTTAGCACTAAATTATGCAGTTGTTTTCATATTAACATACAAAGCCCACGGGGCCTGAACAGCCCTGCTCTGGCCATCCACACGGTCATCTGGCCCCTGCTCCAGCCCCTCTAGGGTAAGACACCTCTGCGCCTTGCAAGCCTGCAGTTCACCTGGGGCAGAACCAACCACTCACATTCCAGAGGGAACTGAGACTCACACAGCAGGCCCAGAGCCCCATCTCCTGGCCCTAAGTGGCTACACACCATCCCCTCTCCTCTGCCTGGTCAGCTAAGGAAATGGGCCATCCATGCTCTCCAAGGTCCCAGCCACACCTCAGTCTGTCCATACCATAGTGTTGGCACCTGGAGGAACCAGCCTGCCTCAGAGAGTGTAGGTAGAGCCACCCAGATGCAAGCTGGGCAGGCCGGGCCAGCCAGCAGGTGGAGAGGACCCAACTGCCTGGCTACGTCTCCCAGGTGCAGCCTGTCCTCCACAGTATCTGAGGAAGATCCCTCACCCCAGAAAACGAAGGTGACCAGACGTCCCGCTTTTGGCAGGACAGTCCTGATTTTTAACAATTTCTCCTGTGTCCTGTGGCGTTTTTAAAAAGTCCCAATTTTTGGAAAGAATGAACAACAAGTTAGGGAACAGCGGGACAACGGGAAGGGAATATACAGCTGCTGAAAAGGTTAATGTAACTCCATTTGGGAATGAAGAGGTTAATGTAACTTCATTTGGAAATGAAAAGGCTAATGTAAACTCCCTACTCCCCTCCTGGGCAAGGTCGCCCAGGTGGACTGAGCCCTACTCCTTTCAGCCACAGGCTCCGCCCTATACATAATTTTTTTTAATGTATTATATTTGCAAATTGTCCTTATGTTGAAATTAAAAATATATATATTACAATACTATTTTTGTGTTCTATGAAAATTTTTGTTGCTCCATATAGACCAAATTTTTAATTAAGAACACCCCCACATCCCACACCCTGTCAATGGTGTCCCGCTTTACCAATGTTAAAATCTGGTCACCTTATGGAAAACACTGGGAACAGGCCTCCCTTACCTGGGGGGACATCATCATGGGTGGCCATGCCCCGGGTGGACAAGGTGCCTGGCTGGTTTCCCAGAGGCAGTGGCTACTCCTGGGCTGTGAAGATAGTCCTTGGGGGTCCAGAGGGTTCTGATCTGTGACATCCAGAATCTGCAGTGGGGAGGGGCAGAAATAAGTCAGTAAAACTAAGTAACAGAAGTTTCTAAACAACTCCAGAGAAAGCCCATCAGGAGCTAAAGCATTATTGTCATGAGGAAATCTGCCATTGGACCGAAGGACACTTCTTTTTGGACATCTGGACTCTCTCAGATGCTTCAAAGTTCCTAGGTGCCAAGGCTGCTCGACCCTGTGAGAAGAGCTGATTATAAGGAATGTCAACAAAACCAGTTAGCCTGTCCTCCTTTGTCACTTGCACACGGGCACCTTTGGGGTCTGGGGTAGGTGGAGATTTTCAAGGTGGAGCCTGACACATTGTTGCCATCAGTCTGAGCTGCCTGAAAACTCAGGATGCAGACGTGCCCCTCTCTGCACTGGTACTTGGCAAGACCACCCAGACACCAGCTCTCCGTTTTCTTTCAGGATGGGCTAATTTTCACCCACATGGACATCTCAAGCTCTTGAGAAGCTCAGCTTCTTGAACAATCCCCACCTCTGCTCCTTCAACAGTTTTATCGACCTGAGTGCTTCTCCCCGGCTGCCCCACCTCTGAGGTCAGTACTCAGCTTGGGCCCTCACCCTAACTTCATTTCCTTTCCACGGCACAGGGTCTCACTGCAGACTTCACACAATTTCATAAATTCTTTGCTGGGGAACTGTTTTCCCTCACAGGTAAGGAAGATGGGCAGAGACAGAATGCCCACATCTCCCAACAGCTACTCTGGAGAGTAGCTCCCTGCCAATATCACCTGGGGACAGGGCAAGACACTGTGCCAACTCCTTTGTCAGGAACTGCCACCATCCCAGGCCCCAGAAGGCACAGCAGCTCCTAGCAACCCACAGGCCAAACGGAGGCTATAGCTTAGACCAGCCACCCTGCCCAGCCTGGTCTGAGCTCACTGCTGGGGGCCTCAAGACACTTGGGTTCTGTGTCTGAGGGGAATTTTCCCCACAACCAGGGGAGAAGGAAACTCCATTTAGTGACCACTGGGCTAAGTTGTCTGGGATTTGGCCACATGGTAGTGAAAAGCAGCCGTCAGCATTTGTGAGACACAGCACTTCTCCCGACCAAGAAGGTGAAGACTTTATTCCACAGGTATCAACCCCAGGCCTTCACCCCAAAGACTCTATTCCACAGGTATCAACACCCCAGCCTTCACCCCAAAGACCTGGAGAAGAGGCTCAAGAGATTGGCCTGGAAGCTCTGTTCCAGCAAAATCCAGCAGGAATCTTCTAGGCTAGTACAGACCTTCCACAGGTGAATCAAAGCAAGCAAGCTGAAGGTCAAGGCTTTGGGACAGAAAGGCCCCACCTGCTACCTGTATCGCTCACCAGAAGACACACTTTCTATGAAAATTATATGTAGAAAGGCAATATTTAGCTACAGCCCTTGTTCTCAATCTTGGCTGCAGATCAGAATAGCCAGAAACCAGTTAAAATTACAGATTCCAAGTCCTCAGGCCTCTCCTGTCTTCTAGGGAATAGACCACAGGGATTCCTTTGTGTGTTTCTTTGGTTTTTAATGTTAACTCTTAAGTGATTCTGATGCCCAAACAGAATTGAGAACCACTGGGCTAATAGGATCTCAGCCCTGTTTTTCAGTAAAGTACTTATTGCTGCCTCAGTTTCCTCAATGTGATGACCCTCCAGGAGGCAAAAGAGAAGATGTGGGCTACCTGAGTGTCCAGGATGCATACTTCTCAACAGTTACTCCTGCTGCTGTGGGCGTCCACACAAAGCCATCGTCCCACCTGCATCCTCCTCAGAAGTCAGAAGTCAGCAGGCCGAGATGGCTCATGTTCCCCCATGTCCTGAAGGACACTGGCAGGACAGGGAGGACACCTGGGGCTACTCTGTGGCTTCCCAAGCCCTCTCATCAAGCAGAGCCCCTTGGAGTCCCTCTCAGGGTCTACACCTATGGCTCTAAGGCCCTAAGGGTCTACAGTGTAGGAATGCCTAGGTGCCCGCCCAAGAGGAGGCAGCCAAAGTCTTTCTGGACATCCTGCCATGTCTTATGTGAGAGCCAGCAGGGCACCTCCCAGGTGCCTTGTGGGAACTTAATGACCCATGTCCAAACTATTAAAAGTCAGAATCAGAAATTCCAGCACAAACACGGGCAGAGCTTTGGGGTTTACCATGGACACTGTGGAGCACCCCCCACGGCACAACTCACTGAAGCTCTGCTGTGACACCAGGGCGTCACGCTCCCTTATCAGAACAGCCAGCCCCTGACTGAGGTCTCAGGAAGTCAGTAGATTCTGGTAACCAGAATTGTTCAGCATGGCTGCTTCCCCCACTCTTGGGCTCAGTTTCCCAGCCCAGGGAGTGGGGTGGCCCAAGGTAAGTTACCGTTGCCCACTCCTTCCATTAAGGTTATGGCTACAGCGGTTCCCTAGTGACCAGCACCACAGGAATGAAGAAAGGTGACAGGAGGGACTCATGTTTCAAGTGGAAAGGGAACAAAAGCTGAAGAATGTGAGCCCCCAGCACAGAATCCCAACTGCCCCCCCAGAAGCCAGTGACCCACCCCGTGTCTTCCTGCTCCCACGGGAGCTGGGCAGGGAATCGACCTGCCCAGAGAATGGCCCAAAGGGCAGGCGAGAAATGGCCCACAATGCCCCCATGAGCCCAGGGGCTGCCCTTCCCACAGCTCCTCCTGCTATCAAGACATGACCCAGGCCTCCTTTGGGGACCCCTGAGGGACCTGGGCTCTAGCAGGCCAGAGTTCATGTCTCCTCAGACAAAGCTAGAGGGAGCATTCGTGCCCACGCCAAGAGAAAGGTGAGGGGAAAGGTGACAGGGTTTGCAAACCCTACTCTTTGAACCCAAAAATGTGTTCCCCAAAGATACACTCTCTGAAGAGAGGCCTCAGATCTAGGCCCCCTCCCATCTCTGTGCTGCTATGCTGCTGAATGCCCAGATTTGAACTGCTGGAACACTGGCCGTGGGGTCAGACATAGCTGGGCTGGAATCCTGCCCTGGCCCCTCTTGTATTCAATTGGGAAAGTGATTCAATTCCTCTCAGTTTCAATTTGGTTTCTTCATCTGAAAAAAAGGCCCTAACAGACATTTTGATAGGATTAAAATAATGTGTAGAAATAATGTAGCACCATTGGTGGTTACTCAGGGATGTCAGGTCTGAATCTTCCTCCTCCTTCCCTGGGGAGAAACAACCCCTCCCCCACACACACATGTACTATGTACATACACCCACAGCATCTTCCAAGTTATGAAGGCCAGCCCCCCACCCTACCCAGGTGACAGACGCCCGCCCCCTTGTGAGAAGCGGGCAAATGTGTCTACAGAGTGACAGACTCAGACCAGGTGGTGCCTTTGACCTCCTCCAGCTCTTACCATGGGTCCCTCTAAGTCAGTGGTCACTGTAAAGCCAGGTAGAATGAGTGACCACTCACTGTAACGCCAGACAGATGAGTGACAGCTCACTATAACTCCAGGCAGATGGGTGACCGCTCACTGTCACGCCAGACAGATGACTGACCACTCACTGTAATGCCAGACAGATGAGTGACTGCTCACTGTAACGCCAGACAGATGAGTGACAGCTCACTATAACTCCAGGCAGAATGACCACACACTCACAGTGATGTCAGGCAGAATGAGTGCCCGCTCACAGAATGGAGGAAGTCGTGCTGTGGGGTGGGTGTGCAGGGAGACCAGCAGTACTGTCTGCCTAGGGGACCTGGAGATGCTCCAGAGAAAAAGCCCCATCCTTGCTGGACCTGGGAGGAAGCGGCTCCACGTGGGCAGGGAGTGGGAGAGGCATGCAGGGCAGGCCTCTGTGAGTTCGGAGCCTGGCCAGAGGGCCCGGGCCTGGGAAGGTCGGTGAGGGGCACATGGGCAGACTCTGAATGCTCCATCAGAGGGTCCGGGCTTGCTCTGTAGCCAAAGGAACTCTAAAGACATTTCAAGGACAGGAATGCCACTATCTGACCTTAGTTCTGCACAGACCCCTTCAGAGAGGTTATGGAAGGACTTCCTAGGGAAGGGGAGCCTTTGATAGAATCACAGGACTGAAACTTAGAGACATCACCCAGCCTCTGGCCAGGACACAGAAAATAACTCAACCAAGATGCACCACAGGGTATAGGCAGGGCTTAGACTGGATATAATTCTCCTTCCTGTATCCCATGCTGTCCCCCTGAGGATAAACAGCACCTTCCCTCCACTCCCCACACACACCCCTCACCCCACTACCCACCTCTGCTGCCGTATGGGAGGCAGCTCATCTCACAGGCCTCTTGGGAAACCTCTGGGGTGCTCAGATGACTGAGAGGACTCTGACCTCCAGGGTTCAGGCTGTCGTGGAAAGTCTGAGATTCACGTGCTCATTCAACCATGGTGTAGGAACCAGGATACAAAAGTGAATAAGAAAATCTTGCACCTGCAAGCTGTGTGACTGCGGGCACATTACTAAACTGCTCTGAGCCTGTTTCTTTACCTGCAAAAGGAGGTAATACCTATCTCCCTCCAGTATTACATCCAATGAAATATGAAAATCACTTAATACAGTGTATGGGCCCTAACAAGAAATCAATACACAGTGGCATTAATATAACTACAATCAACAAAGCCCATGGCATCAGCAGGTGGAGAACAAAGGTGGGTGGAAATAGTCCTGGGGACAGAGGAGTTATAGAGCAGTGGTGGATCAACTTGGGGAAGGGGGCAGATCTGAGAAATGTTTAGAAGGCAAATCAACAGGATTAAGAGGAAATTAATTAGATAAGGGCAGTCTAATTAGATAGAGGGAGTCTAGGCCAAGTCCAGGGTTGAGGCATGGAGGGTGGAGGATGGGGTGCCATTCACTGCCAAGATGGTGAACACTGCTGGAGAGACACCACATTCTGGCTGGGGACCGTTGGT